AAAAAAAAAAAATTCAAAAACATTAACATTAACATTAACATTAACATTAACATACACTACTAATCAAAAACGTTAACAAAAAAAAAAACCCTAAACAATAAATATGACAACGTTCATCTATTGCGACCATTCAATTACCTTGAAGTCCTGAGCAATTTCATGGACAAGCCTCTTGAATGGAAGATTCAAGATCAAGAGCTTAGAACTCTTTTGGTACCTGCAAATTTCACTGCACATCAACTAATTATGATAACAAAGAATCTGAAAAACATAAGAATTGTTATAAATATAGTAACCATAATTCAAGCTTTAATTCATTGAGTAGAGAAGAATTTACTTGCCTAAAGAGGTGACTTCCTAGTTGAAAGAAGGGCTACCAAAAATTAATTAGGACGACTAAAGTTTTAGTCCCCAAAAAGTTTTTTGTTCATCTTATTTCTTTCAGCCACTAAATATTTTAGTCGCCTAAAGTTTGATTTTGTTTTTGGCTACTAAAGTTTTAGTTGCCAATTTTTTTTTTCATTTTATTTTTTTTAGCTACTAAAGTCTGCTTTTTTTTATGGCTACTAAATATTTAGTAGCCAAAAAGTTTTTTTTTCATTTTTTTTATTTAACTACGGGATTATACAAAAGTGTAAATTATCCTCCGTACACAAAAATAGAATATCCATAAGTCCATGCTAAAAGCCATCTACAAAAAAAATTGCATCCATTAGTACCAAAAATGCATGCAAAACTTGATAGTCTAAGGCAAAAAGATCAGTGGTTATGGTGGAACATGCTATAAGAGTAGATGACAAATATGCAAACTCAAAGAGGACACTTCACCTAAAAATATCCTGTTCTATCCATGAGTAAATTTTTAGTTGCCTATGTGTTTCTAGACATCTTGTTCTATCCATGAGTCATACCATTTATCATTGGAACCCAACTCAAAAATGGCAAAGACTTTCCCAATTGTTGAGCCCACCACTCAGCACCTGAAAAAGAGTTAAAATTAATATTATAGTGAAATACAACTAAAAGAATAAAAACCTAATCAATGAATGAATTTTTTAGGAATCTATTAATTTTAGTAGCCAAAACTAACTATACAGCGAGTAAAATATTTTTTAGTCGCTGAAAATAAATTTTTGTTTTTCATTCGGCGACTAAATAATTTTAGTAGCCAAAACTAACTATGCAGCGACTAAATTTTTTTTTCTGTTGCCAATTGTGGCATTTTTAGTGACTAAATTTTTTTGTCACCAATAATCAATATACGTCGACTAAAAAAAATAATAGCTAAATATTGTACTTTTGCCGACTAATATAATTTTTGGTTGCCAATTCCACAAATTTTGGCTACTAAATTTTTTTTAGTTGCCAAAAGTGCAATTTGTTGTAGTGTATGACATCTAAATGTTCTAGCTCAAATCTATCTTGGCATACAAGGAAAATTAGAAATAAGCAGCCACACATAAAATTTGCAAAGAAAATGTAAGCAAAATGAACATAAAATGAACTAAAAAGATGCCATAAAAGTAATCACCTGGTAGCACATCTTCATCACCTTCCAAACTGTGTTGTACGAGAGACAAATAGAAGAGTGAGGGGCCAGAAAAGATGCTACTTAGTGAACGCTGAATTTTGGACGACTTGTGCATCGCAACTACGCAAGTCATTCACATCCTTGCTCAACTGCACTGGAGACGCATCCACATCAGTGACAAAAAGTCATCGCTTCACAGGGTGGGTCTTACATGCCCTCATATTATTCCTTCTAGGACGCTTTGGTGTAAAAAGGGTCGGAGTACCAATTGGATCATAGTCATCATAATATTCGTCAAACGAATTGCTACCCATTTGTCCCGTTTTACGATTTTTTTGGGGGGCAAGTTCTCCTCGTGTGGCTGACGACCCTACATTGTCAAGTAATCACCAATCATAAAGGAGAACAAAAATGTCGATACTACCTCACAATAACAAAATTAAGGCGCAAAGCACAATATGATCTATACCTACAACACTAGAATCACCTTGGCTTTCGTGGTTTAGCCATGTAGGATCCCCTAGTATTCCCCTTTGTGTTCACTACTTTCGGATCCCCAACGCCAAATGGCAGTAGTGAACTTTTTCCTTCATCAACATTAGTTTCCTTGGCTATGCAAAGCTGCTTCATTTGACATGTCATAGTGAAAGATGCATTCCTAGCCTTTTCAAACCCTTCAAAAGTTTGTGAGGCATAGTAACACATTTCAATAAAAGAAGAGCAAAGTACCCCGAAACGTGTCTCTTGTGTTAGAGTGCTAGAGAATTGGGCTTGGCAATGTTGTTCACCAACCTTTCTTGCCTGCTTTGTCCAACAGTGCATCACACAACTTGGGGGAATTTTAGTCATGTGTTCGCATTTCATCATAGAAATCATGTGGCTGCAAGGAAGTCCAAAGAACTCAAACTTTTTGCAACTACATTTGATTATGCTCGTTGCGGGATGATATGACACTTCCCATGTGAAACCAAATTCAGTGTACTTTGAAAATTTGTATATGCGATGATCGAACTTCTCTTTCCTTCCATCAAAAATCAACAATGCTTCCTCAATTGTTTAATTACGGAACATTAAGAACAAATGTCTGGTGAAGATGGTTGCAGCATGTTTCTCTAGAGGCCGAAGTGTCGTGGTAAGACAAGGATCATTGTTGTCAGTTTTTGCCTTGGCCTCCACTTCTTTGTTCCGAAACCGATAAAGGGCCATGTCAAAACGTCTAACAAATTCGAATAGTTTTAGTTTTCGTTTGAGGCACTCATTGAAAAAAGCATGCATACTCTCACAACACTGACTGCTCTTCATCCTAGCAAAAAAATGACCACAAAAATATGACTGAGCCCACATGCCTTTGTTTTTGTAGGTGTCTGATACCCACTTGTTATTTTGAAGGCCATATTGTCTGACCATCTTACTCCAAGCTTCGTCAAATACAACCTCATTCGCATCAAGATCCATGAGATGCTTGAAATGTCCTTCGAATCCAACGATTCGAACATTGTGCTTGGCATTTTTGTGCATATGCCAATTACATAGACAGTGCTTGGCATTAGGAAAGACTTTTTGTATTGCTTCACGCATGGCCATGTCCCCATCTGTCAACACTGACACTGGTCTTTTGTTATCCATGGCCTCTAACAATTTCTGCAAAACCTATGTGTATGTTGCAATTTTCTTATCAACGAGCAAGCTACATGGAAATATGATGGTTTCAAAATGATTATTCACCCCTGCCAAAATAACAAAAGGTTTTTTATATGCATTCGTTTTGTAAGTTGTATTGAAGACCAACACGTCACCAAATGCAGCATAGTCTAGCCGAGACCTTGAATCTGCCCAAAACAATTTCTCAAGCCAGTTCTCTTGATCCTTGTCATACTTGTAAAAGAAGTATGGGTCAGCATCAGCTTTTGTACATAAGTAAGCCAAAGCACACTCCGCATCACCATCCTTCATTTCTACTTTGCGCTCGGCTTGAATATAATTATGCAAATCCTTGTGAATAAAGCCCACATTCACAAAAGACCCAGATTGTTGCACCAACAAATCCTTATCTGGCTTGTCTTGACACCAACATCATGCAAAGCCTTTACTTGAGCTTTGTCAGTGATCTTTACGTACCTATGCGACCGAAGAAATGGTACACATTGTGATGTTGCCAATGGATGGTTACGTTTCATGTTAAAGTGAGTGACAATGTATTTGCCTACATCCAGATTGTACCTTATGCGGAAATGAGAATCACAACCAACTCTAGTCAATGCCCTGACAGCTCTTTTTCAATCAATACGAGCCAAGTGTTGCTTTGCTCTTCGGCCTTGCCTTGAGCATACCCATTTTCTACTAAGAACCTTTGTTTCCTGCATTGTTCATGTGTCTTTCCTAATGCTAAATCCCACAACTTTAGCATATTGATTATAGAAATCATTGGCATCCTCTTCTGACTTGAATTGCATTTTAAGAACGTCGTTCTTGGCTAAACTTTAAATAGGGTCATTTGCATGGGAACCTAACCCTTCTTTATTCCCACAAACTTCATCATCTTCAAGCTTATGCTCAAATTTAGTACTTTAGAAAGGATCCATGATAACTACATCAAAAATAATACAGAAAGAATAACATTATTTTTATAAAGTGAATGAAAATTCCTAAATTCACATAAGAGAATTTCGTAAAAGAGCAAATAACAGACATAAACAATAATAGAATAATGTACATAGATTTAATGACATAGTTATTGAAAACATAGTTTGACTTACCATTAATGACATAGTTATTGAAAATCAAAATAAATAGAGAATGACTCTGTAATCAATAATCAAAATAAAACCTGCCCAACACATCCTATAACTCAAATACAAAGTAAGAAAGGATGTAAACAAGATAATAATCAACTACTAACATCCACGGACACATATCCGGATCACTGTTCAACAGGGGTAAACCCGGGATCGCTATAGATACATTTGATATTAATGGTATAGATCTTCCCAAACTTTAAATGGGTGAGATCAATTCTTTTCCTGCCCAAATGCTCTTACTCTCCCCTCTTTCATCTCTGCCCAAATCCTCCCTCTTTCATACACTCCTCTCTCTCTCCCTACTTCTCTACCTCTCCTCTTGCAACGACACTGCCGCTCACCAACTACCTACCGACCACCTCTCCTTGCCTCTTTTTGTCCTCTATTCTCTCGACCACTGACTATCTTCTCTCGCCCTTCTCTTGCGACGACATCGGAACCATTCGCCTCTCTTCTCTTATGCTCTACTAATTAGTAGACTTAAAAAATAAAATAAAAAAATGAAATATAAAAAATGCTACGAAGGGAGAGACTAGTTTTTAGAGAAACAAAACCTTATCGCAAGGACTCATTGTCACTGAAATAGTTGTTTTTAAAATTTTATTTATGAAACCCATTAATCTGTACAATCCTTGAATTGGAAGAGAATGACTTAGAGTTCAAAAATGAGAGCAAGAGAGGACCTCAGTAAAGGGGGGTGATTGGGAAATTTGGTTGATTATTTACTCTAATGGGGGTTGAAATGGATGACTCTTTGCTTCTATGATTTTTCTCTGTCTCTGCAATATGTAAGTAATCAAATGAGTTAACACAATATATTTAAAATTCAAGGGTTATATCTTCAAACAGTCTATATATTCAATCAGGAATAAAAATCTATATAATTTATTGATGCAATATCACCAAAAGAAAGACTAAATGTAACGCCCTCAAAATAAACCCATAACATCATACAGTCAAGTTACAAGAAAATGATATTATATTACAATCATCAGAATATCCTTATGAAATGTATTACACGTTGACAACAAAAGTAACTGCCCTATAGGCTTACAAATTTTCAAGTCAATACTTGGTTACAAAGTGAGAGTACTAACTCAAATACATATTAAGCCCTTGGCTTGAATTTACATGAAATACATCCAAAGAAAACAAAACAACAAAATAGTCTGTCTGCCTCTAGCCTCCCCAACTATGTTCTTTGGAGGTGCATACCGTCAGGTACCTGAAAATGAAGTCCCATTATGGGTGAGCACCAGCCCAGTTAGAATATAACTAACAACTTATACAAATTGACTAAAAAATAATTAAAACCATTCAATAGATGGTCCACACTGTATATCCAATTATGTCATATTACAGTTTTCATGACAATCATTTGCCCATGGCTATATTTCACCTTTCAATTCCTATCGTCATCAAGTTTGAAAACAAGGCTCAGAGTCTGGCCAAATAATTTAAATGAGATTATAACTCATCACTAAAATATCTTCAAAATTCATTATGGAAGCACATTTTGGGCTGTATCAATAATACATAAAACACTTTCAACTCACAAATGATTAATGATATTACTTTTAGTGCTATATCAAATCATACAAACACTTCTAATACTTCACAAATGATACACATTTTAGTGCTGTATCAATTTCTTTTCAAAACCAAAATCATTTAAGAGGTCCATCCCCATCTTTCATAAACCGATGGAGTACAATTCCCCCATCTCTCTCCACACAAACAATGTATATAAACAATTATCACATACAAATTTAATAATCAAGAACAAGTGAACACATTTAGTGCTACATCAATGTCAAACAAAACACTTCTATAATTCCAAAATGATACACATTTGTAGTGGGTGTAATCAATCTCAAACAAATTCGCGTTAGAGGTTCATCCCCCATTCTTTCAATAAACCGGGAGTATCCCCCCATCTTCCTCCTACGCAATACAATGTATATAACAATTATCATATTACAATTCAATCAATCAATAAAAAATTGATGTATTATTACCACCCAGCATTCGATAACATACCCACATGATTAGTTAGAGTTTGCCTAATCATCATTGCATTGGTCATACAACAGTTAAAAACTATCCTCCACCGATAGCTCAAGCAGTTATTTCTAAACAGAAAATAAATGCACGTAACGCCCTCAAAATTAACCATTATATTTCATCGACATGCATATTTAAAGAAGACATTTATTAATTCATTCATCAGAGATTACTAAATATCGAATAAAATGCCCCTACAGGCTTAATCTTTCCAAGCCAACACTTTGGATACAAAATACGAGTTCTAACTCAATACAAGAAAAGCCCTAGGCTTGAAGTTTTTACATGTACTAACAAATAAAAGCAACAACAGAAAAATAGTCCTTCAGAATCCAAGTCCTCCAAGCTAAGTCCTTTTTTTGGGAGTAGGCTATCCCCTGAACCGAAAATGAATGTTCCCATAAAAGGGTGAGTCCAAGGCCCAGTAGAAATATACTAAACCACAACGAATAAAGCAATGCATTCAACAGATGGTTAACCAGGATAATCAATTACTTCATTTTACAAGTCTCATGGACCTAATTGTCTAAGATACGTTTTTTACTTCCACAATTTTATCAACATGGCTCAGAACCTGGCCAAACTTACAAACAGTGAATTTACATATATCGTATTCACATCCTTCCAATATCAACAAACAAATTGAGACTCAAGCTCAATAAATCAAAACTTCATACTTCCAGATTGATACACCATTTTAGTGCCTGTATCAATAAAACACTTCTATATAAATAAGCACTACATAAAAGTGATGCCTAATGGGTCCATCCCCTATCTCCTCCCAACAAAATCCGGTTTAGAGTCCATCCCCTATCTTCCCCTAAACCGTGGAGTACACCCCTATCTCCTCCCACACACAAAAACAATGTAATGCAAATGCATGCTCAATCAATACACTTATCTCCTATCAATGCAATAGTCAAAATTTATGACTTCACCAATGTGAATTTTCAATTAATCCTAATCACATGCAATGTCTTACAACAATCACAACATATCCTCCACCGATTAGCCCAAAACAGTTATTTCTAAAACGAAAATAACTATGTCCACAAATTCAATAGCACAAATGATACAAATTATCCAATTATGCCATTTAATCATATGAATTCCCCAATTCCATGAATTTAATCATTCTTTTTCCCAATTCCATGAATTACTTATACAAATCAATTCAATAATTCAAACTGGGTTTTTCCAAAATTAACCAAAGATTCCCCAACATATTAAAATACAAAACTTAGAACGTAACCATAAATTGCGAGTAGGAAAAATCCCTACACGTCAGAGAAAACAACCCAAAATGGTGAAGACAGAGATGGAGTGCCCAAAGACCAAAATGCTCCAAATGCCAAAATGTTCAGATTAAATGAAAGCTCTTATCCCTCTATCTTTTTAATAAAGCAACTAGGGTTTGAAACACTCTCTAAACAGATTCAAACCTAAGAGAGAAGTGATGAGTAGGGAGAGAGAGAGGTCGAACCTAGGGTTTGGATTCAAAAGAATTATGAAAAAGACTGATCAATCCCGTCGCTGTGTATTTAAACGGACAGGTCTCGCTCGAGCGAAGCCTTGGTCGCTCGAGCGACCAGACACAGAGAATCTACGCTCGAGCCAAGGAAGCCTTGCTCGAGCCAACAACCCAAAAGCTCGCTCGAGCGAAAGAAAGCTCGATCGAGCGAAGAACTCAAACCCTCAGGTCTGAAACCAGACTCACGCTCGAGCGAAGGAACTATTGCTCGAGCGAAGAACAAACTAACTCGC